ATCAGAGATAGGGTACAAAACCCCGGCATCCAACCACTTGATCACCTCCTTTTTCACAACTTCTTGCATTACCTCATTCAACCTCTTTTGATGTTCCAAGGAGGGCTTTGCATCATTTTCTAGAATAATTTTGTGCATACAGAATGTGGGGCTTATCCGCCGAATATCAGCTAAAGTCCATCAAATTGCTTTTTTTTTTTTCGCTTTTGAAGCACCGCCAACGTGGCATCAACATGCATGTTAGTAAGACAAGAGAAAAGAATAATTGGCAAAGTAGAACTAGGGCCTAAGAACTCATACATGAGGTGTAGAGGAAACAGCTTCAACTCCAACACTGGAGGCTCCTCAATTGAAGGTTTTGTTGGTGGAGTCTTCCGATTCTCAAGGTCCAACAATAGTTTTCTAGGCTCATAAGAGTAAGAGCCCATCCTATATAAAGCATTCACACACTCCACTTGGCCCTCATCATCATTGACATCAAGGTTCAACAATACGGCCTCTAGAGGGTCCTCCACATTGATCATTGCACTGGTATCATCAACTATCACTCATGACAAGGTCCACAAAAGAGCACACCTCGAAACTATTGGGCTGCTTCATTGACTTGCACACATGAAAGACCACTTTTTATTACCCACCCGGAAGGTGAGTTCTCCTGCTTCCAAATCAACTAAGGCCTTCCCAGTAGCAAGGAAAGGTCTCCCCAAAATTATTGGAACTTCATAATCACCTCATAAACCAAGATCACAAAGTCAGCTGGCAAGATAAATTTGTCCACCCGGACAAGGACATCATCAATAATACCCAATGGTCTCTTCATTGTTCTATCCGTAATTTGCAATCTCATGGAAGTCGGCCTCGGTTGCCTAATATTCAAAGTCTTGAAAACTGAGTAGGGCATCAAGTTGATACTTGCCCCCAAATCACATAGAGCCTTAGCAAAGTCCGCACTCCCAATGGTGCAAGGAATGGTGAAAGCACCGAGATCTTCAAGCTTCGGGGCCATTGAATGCACTATTGCACTAACTTGCTGGGTCATCTTTATAGTTTCACAATCCATGGATCGTTTCTTTGTCACCAAGTCCTTTATGAATTTAGCATAGCCCGACATTTGTTCAATAGCCTTCACCAAAGGCACATTAATGGATAAGCTCTTCATTATACCAATGAACTTTTAAAATTGATTCTCATTTTTCTACTTCGCAAGCCTTTTAGGATAAGGTGTAGGTGGACTTGGCAAAGGAGCCTTGGCTTTCGGCACAACCGGCTCCAGCATGTCTATTACGTGTTCCCTAGACGGGTTCACGTCATTTTGAGTTTCCACCTTGGCATCTTGAATATCAATCCTCACTTTTTCATTCATATTCTCATCAATCACATTTTCAACCACCAAAGGAACTTCATCTTCTTGCAGCTCAAATTCATCACTCAAAATTTACTTTTGTTTGGAGGCATTCACATCACCGCCTCGTCCACTCCTTGTAGTTACCGCCATAACATGATTGTTCCCACCCTTCGGGTTTACTACCGTATCACTTGGTAGAGCACCCCTAGGGTGAGTATTCAAGGATTGTGAGATTTGGCCTAACTGAACTTCCAAATTTCTAATTGAAGTATTGTGGGAAGATAACTGAGCATCGAAATCCGCAGTCTTTTTCATCATCTATTCGAACATCATTTCAATTCTCCCTATGTCATTGTTGGAAGAACTAGGGCCTTGGGATGGAAATAGGGGCGGATTGTTCAGTTGTTGGTACATTGGGGGCCTTTGAAAGCCTTGCCCCCGGTTTCCCTTATTTTCAGTGTTCCACCCACCTTGATTGTTGTTACCACCCCAGTTGTTGTTGTTCCCATTCCAATTACCTTGATTGTTCTAATTATTGTTCTGATTGCCCCAGTTGGAGTTTTGGTTATTGTTCCCCCAATTACCATTGCCTTGTTGTTGTTGATTTCCCCAATTACCCTGGGGTCTGCATTGTTGTTGGTTGGAAGAATTGCCTATTTGGCCTTGATAATTGTTCACGTATTGCACCTCTTCATTTTGCACATCATAACTATCATCTTGGAATCCACCACAATCATTGTCAAATTGCTTCGAATTCTCTTGGTTCTGTTAACCGCTTTGTTTTCTTTTGTTGACTAGCATGTTGACACCCTCCATAGCATTCACTTGGCGAAGATTTTGAACTTGTTGCAACTGTGCCTTTGCTAGTTGGTTCATTGTAGTTGTCAACTCAGCTATAGCCTACCCACAATCATGTAACTCCTTGTGCAAATGAGTAACTATGGGGTCACCCTGGGGCACTTTGGCTCTACTTTGCCAAGAAGAAGAAGTGTTAGTCATTTTGTCAAGAATGTCACAAGCCGCATCATAAGACAACTTCATGAAGTTGCCCCCAGCAAGTTGGTTCACTATGCATTGGTTTGTTGTGTTAATGCCTCGGTAGAAAGTCTGTTGGATCATCGCCTCAGTCATATCATTGTTGGGGCATTCCTTTACCATTATTCTATAGCGCTCCCAAATCTCATGCAAAGGTTCAATGGGCTCCTACTTGAAAGCCAAGATCTCATCTCTCAATGCTACCATATGCCTAGGTGAGAAATTTTTTACAATGAACTTGTCCACCAACTCATCCCAAGTAGTGATGGAATGGTTGGGAAGTCGCTCAAGTCAATCCAATTCCTTCCCTCTAAGTGAAAATGGGAAGAGTCTCAACCGAAGTGCATCCTCGGACACATTTGTTTGCTTTATCTCCTAACAGGTATCCACGAACCCCTTGAGATGCTTGTAAGCATTTTGATTGGCGGCGCCCGTGAAATACCCACGCTACTCCAGCAATGTCAGCATCACATTGGTAATTTGAAAATTACCCACGGGACAATTGCACTTGCATAGCCTTGGTTTGGAAGCACTCGAGGAGCCACTCTTGGAGGTGGCGGGGGAGGGTCTGACATATTATAATTGGCCTGGCGGCCTCTACTTTGTACTTGAGGCACAATAGGGACCTCATCTTCAACATTGTCATCTACTTCCTCCCCCGACAGAAGATCTCCAAGAGGTGTATTGTTTAAGTTTGCTGCCATTTTGTACCTGAAGTGTGACACACACAAATTAGTAACACAGAAGGAAAGAAGAGCAATACACAAAACTATTTAGATAGATAGCCAAAACTGTTAGCTCCCCGACAACAGCACCAAAAAGTGATCGAGGCCAACCCTGTACTACTATGAAGCAACAAGAGAGGTCGAAGAAGTTTTTACCCAGGAAGGTCGGGATCGATTTCCACAAGGAGCTAGATATTGGAGTTGAGTTTATATTTAAATGGGAGTTGTGTAATTGTTCCTAATTGCACTTCTTAACATTGTTGATTTTGATTTTACTTCTAATTTTATACTACCAAGATGCTAAATTAGGCTAAGTAAAGCTAAGATTAAACTATTGCAAGTTGTTCAAATAGATAAAAGACACTAGGGTAGTGACTTTCTCCTAGGTGGTTAATTGGCGGATGCTTGAGTCTAAGGCTAGATTTTCACATTTGGGGAGTATGATATAACCATTGAATGATTCTACTCACTCTATACCTTTCGGTAGTTTGAGTAATTTTGCCCGAATTGACTTTCTCAAGACCAATTGGGTATGCAAATTTGTACAAGCAATTGAGGTTCAAGTCGGGTATTACTATCTCTAGGTTTAACCCTTTAATTGGGGCTATCAATCTCTTGAATATGTCCCAATTCCTTGTTGGACTAATTTCATGGACCTAGGCTCTCTTTCTCAAGAAGAGCCAAAGTCTACTAGGCATAAACTAGTGTTTGCAACCACTAATTCAACATTAAAACCCTAAATTAATCCAAATATCAAAACACAAGACCCATCAATTACCCACACTAGGATTGAGCCACAACCCTAGCTAATGGATCTAGCTACTCATAATTATAGAAGAAAATAAAGAAATAGATGAAGAAAAGCCCATAATAATTAATTACTAAATAAAACTTGAAGATTCAATGTTTAAACTAAGCTAAAATTACTCAAAATGGTAAAAGAGAAGAAGTCACGAACGCAACTCTGTCCCAAAATCTATCTGATGACCTAAAAATGGGGAAAAAAACTATTTATACTAGGCTAAAAATTTTGGACAAAAATACCCCTGCGCGTCTAGTGCGAACCGCACAAAATCGAGTGCGGCCGCACTAAGGTTCTTGGCACTAAGGTTCTTGGCCACCACGGACCGCACAAAATGCACCGCGGTGGCTTCTACTATGGTCTACACAAAATGGACCGCGGACCGCATTGACCAGGTTCCCCAAAATGTCACATATCTGAACTTTGGCTCTGCGGACTGTACGAAATCGAGTGCGGATGCAATGGAATTAATATGGACCGCACAAAGTCCTTTGCGGCCGCATTGCCTGGCTGACTGAGAGGCATACTCTCTGATATTCATCTTAGCGGACCGCACAAAATGGTGTGCGGCCGCATTGGCCCTGTTTGACTGAGCTTGGTCTTGGTCTTGGTACTTGTGCAAGTTTCACTCCTTTTTGAGATGGTTTTTGACACCATGTCACCTTGGTGATCAAACCTGCAATCAAGTACAACTTGTGAGTCTTTGGGACTATTTTGTATATATTTCTAATAAAAACTTAAGCAAGAAGGAGTGTAAAATACATCATAATCCCTAGTTATCACTTACCAAAGGCAACAAGGGTACAACCGGCAAAATTAGCAGCAGGATTATCAATAAACTCCTCAACAATAGATTGTGAGACATGATGATGGGTTTGCTAAACTTGAGGGTATGATGCAACAAGTGATTGGGTCCACTGGAAAACTAGCTGACAAAGTAGAATCACATGAGTCAGTAATTAAGAATATTGAGATCTAGTTAGGACAGATTTCCATGGCCCTAAATAATTGTCCTAATGGGATGTTACCTGCAGACACCAAATTAATCCGAAAGAGCAGGGCCCGAAGTGGTTGATGGCAGCGAGTCTCCGAAATGGTAGGGCTTAGATCTGGAGCGAGAAATGGCTCGCGAAAGCAGACGACTGAGACACCGATGCCAGTACCCATTGAGATAAATGATTCAACGGGTTTAACTAAGGTGACAGTATAGAATGCGTAAGAGAACACCAACAAAGAAGAAGAGGTTGTGGAAGAGATTGAAGTTGCACTAGAACCGACAGTAGAAGTAGTGCCTGAACAAGACAAAACCAAATTACAGGGAAGAAACGACCTCCAGCACCATTCCCACAAAGATTGGCTAAGTATAAAAAAGATCAGTAGTATAAGAAATTCTTGGAGATGTTGAAGCAAATTCAGGTAAAAATTATGCTTTAAAAGAAATGCCTGGATATGCAAAGATGATAAAGGACTTGATGCCCGCAAGTTCAACTTCCAAGACTTGGCCACGGTTACACTGACTCAGACCTGCAGTGCGGTTGTAACGAGACCCATAGCTGAGAAGTTGTCTGACCTAGAGAGTTTCACAATCCCTTGCACAATAGGCAACTTTGCATTTGCTAAGGCACTGTGTGATCTGGGAGCAAACATAAACCTTATGCCACTAACTATCTACAAAAGGCTAGGCATTGGAAGAGCTAGACCCACGTCTATGCTACTACAACTGGCTGATCGAACTGTGAAAAGCCCCTCCGCGATTCTAGATGATGTATTGGTGCAGGTTGGGAAGTTTGTGTTCCCAGCAGATTTTGTCATCCTTAATTGTCGGGTTGACGAGGAAATTCCCATAATTTTGGGAAAACCATTCTTGGCCACTGGGAAAGCTCTAATTTATTGTGAAACTGGAGAGCTCAAAATGAGATTAAACGATGAAGATATAACATTCAACGTACAGAAATCTATGCGCAGACACAGTAAATTTGCCGATTACTCTCTAATAGATGCGGTGGATGTAGTGTTGGAGGAGGACGATGCATCATTGAACATTAAAGACCCTCTAGAAGCTTGTCTCATGAACTTAGATGAAGCTAATGGTGAAGACTTGGCAGAGTGGGTACTTGCTCTTGAAGGCCAAGGTTTTTGGAAAAGGAAGCTTGAATTTGAGCCTTTGCACTTGGATGAAAGAAAAACTCCTCCAGCTAAGCCATCAATAGAAGATCCACCAAAGCTGGAAGTTAAGTCATTGCCATCTCATCTTAGGTATGCATTCTTAGGACCTAACTCAAACCTTCCTGTTATTATCTCATCCAGATTGTTAGATGTGCAGGCATAACAACTTTTGCAGGTACTAACTGAGTGCAAAACTGCAATTGAGTGGACCATTATAGACATTAAAGGGATCAACCCGGCCTTTCGTATGCATAAGATTCTGCTGGAAGATGGCACAAACCTTCCAGAGAACATCAAAGAAGGCTGAACCCCAACATGAAAGAAGTGGTGAAAAAGGAAGTGATTAAATGGTTAGATGCGGGAATCATATTCCCCATCTCTAACAGCAACTGGGTTAGCCCAGTTCAATGTGTACTGAAAAAGGAAGGTACGGTAGTGAAAAATGAGAAGAATGAGTTGATCTCTACACGAACAGTCACGGGTTGGCAAATCTGTATGGACTACATAAAGTTAACTTGGATACCAAGAAGGACCACTTCCCACTGCCATTCATTGATCAGATGCTAGATAGATTAGCAGGGAGGTCTCACTTTTGTTTCTTGGATGGGTACTCGGGGTATAATTAGATTTTCACTGCCCTAGAGGATAGAGAGAAAACATCGTTCACCTGCCCTTATGGAATCTATGATTTTCAGCGAATGCCGTTTGGCCTATGCAATGTACCCACCACATTCCAAAGGTGCATGATGACCATATTCACAAATATGGTAGAAGAGATAATGGAGGTTTTCATGGATGACTTCTCAGTAGTGGGGAATTCATTCGATGATTGCCTTGTGAACTTGAGGCGAGTGTTGAAAAGGTGTATCGAGACTAATCTGGTACTCAACTGGGAAAAGTGCCATTTCATGGTACATAAAGGTATAGTCTTGGGGAACCTAGTGTCAAGTAAAGGTATTGAGGTGGATCGTACAAAAGTTGATGTGATAGAAAAGATTTCACCACCCACCTCAGTCAAAGCAATCAGAAGTTTTCTTGGGCACACCGGTTTTTATAGGAGATTTATAAACGATTTTTCCAAAATTGCTAACCCCTTGTGTAAATTACTTGAAAAAGATCACCATTTTGTGTTTTTTGATGACTGCAGGGTAGCATTTGAGGAATTAAAGAAGAGACTGGTGACAACACCTATTATAGTTGCCCCCAACTGGGAGCAATCGAGCTGATGTGTAATACTAGTGACTATGTTGTGGGAGCAGTTCTTGGGCAGCGAAAAGATAAAATCATGCATCCAATATACTACGCAAGTAGGACGTTGAGTGGGCCCCAACTAAATTACACTGTGGCCGAAAAGGAGATGCTGGCAGTGGTGTTCGCATTTGACAAGTTCAGGTCTTACCTGATAGGCTCAAAGGTAATTGTTTATACTGACCATGCTATATTCATGTACTTAATTTAAAAGAAGGAGTCAAAACCACGCTTGATTCGATGGGTGCTATTGCTGCAAGAACTTGATTTGGAGATCCGTGACCGAAAGGGAATGGAGAACCAAGTAGTTGACCATTTATCCAGGCTGGAAGGAGTTAAAAACAAGGTTGAGGCAGAAGAGATTCTGGAAACGTTTCCAAATGAACAACTACTAACCATGAGTCTCGAGGAAGCGCCATGGTATGCAGGCATTGCAAACTACCTGGAGAGCGGAATTGTTCCTTATGACCTTTCCTCTGTTCAAAAGAAAAGTTCTTTCGTGATTGTCGCATGTATTATTGGGATGAGCCTTATCTATTCAGGATTTGTGTTGATAACATGATCAAGATATGTATCCTCGAGATAGACCAGTCTTCTATTTTACAAGCTTGTCATGCGTCACCATATGATGGGTACTTCGGGGGAGTAAGGACAACTGCGAAAGTCTTGGAGTTAGAGTTCTATTGTCCAACATTGTTCAAAAATGCACATCTATGGATAAAGGGCTGTGATGAATGCCAACGAACTGGGAACATTTCCCGCCAACATGAGATGCCCATGAACCTAATTCAGGAAGTAGAAATGTTTGATGTATGAGGGATAGACTTCATAGGGCCGTTCGTCAGCTCATATGGTAACAAGTACATACTCGTCACTGAGGAATACATATCCAAATGGGTGGAAGCTGCATCACTCCCTACAAATGATGCAAAAGGGGTGATTGATTTTCTGAGAAAGTACATTTTCACCTGATTTGGCATACCAAGAGAAATAATCAATGACGGAGGCACTCACTTTTGCAATCGAACTACATAAGTATGATGTACGCCATAAGATGTCCACTCTATACCATCCACAAATAAGCGGGCAAGTGGAAGTCTCGAATAGAGAAATAAAGAGTGTGCTGACTAAAGCTGTGAATGCAACTAGAATAGATTACGCAAGGAAGTTAGACAATGTACTGTGGGCATATCAAACCGCTTTCAAAACTCCAATTGGCATGTCACCATACAAATTGGTGTTTGGGAAGGCATGTCATTTACCCGTAGAGTTGGAACATAGAGCTTGGTGGGCATTGAGATAGTTGAATCTTGATAGTGAAGCAGCTAGAACAAGTAGAGTAACAGAGTTGCATGAGCTGGATGAGTTTAGATATCACGCTTTTGAGAGCACAAGATTATACAAGGAGATTATGAAGATGATACATGATAGGAATATTATTAAGCGGAATTTTAAACCCCGAGATACGGTATTGCTATACAACTCGCGTCTGAGGTTATTTTCGGGCAAATTGAAATCACGATGGCCAGGCCCTTTTCGTGTGGTTGAAATTCACCCACGAGATCAGTAGAGATTGCTGCGAGTAATGACTCTCGTACATTTCGAGTCAATGGGCATAGATTGAAACACTATGTGGGCATGGAGGAAGCAAAGAAAGTGTTAGTGACCCACTTGATCGAGCCTCCAAAGTTGAGCGTACCTTAAATGCACTTATCTGCGTCGTGCCGTGATCAGGCGCTTCATGGGAGGCAACCCATTGATTTATTGTATTTGTCGTGCCACAACATTAACTAAGGCGCTGGTTGGGAGGCAACCCAATGCGTAGTGATTTTAGGTAGTTAGAATTTGTTATTTTAATTTTTGTAAGTACTAACAAGTGCAGGTGAGCTTGGGCGAGTGATAAGTCCATCAGATGCTGAGAAAATAGGTAAAAATTTGAGAAATCTCGAGGCCCAGGTGCGCGGCCGCGCTCAGACCATGCAAAATGCAAAGTATTCTGCCTCAGGTTTCTCCTAGGAGCGCGGCCGCGCATATCGCCAAGTTTTCTGCCTTGTAAGTGCGACCTCGGACCGCGCTTGTAATGCTCTGCCTACCACTTGAGTTTAAGCTATTTTTTTGTTATTTATTTACTTTCTTTTTTAATTGTTTTGTTCTTTTAATTGTAATATACTAACTTATCCCCCCAACCCGATATCTCTCTCCCTCTTCTTATTTATTCACGCCTAAACCTAAACCCTCACTCCCAAATCAAAACACCCAACTCCTCTATTTCTTCCCAAATAACCCCAAACCTTATACTCCCCATTCATGATCAAATCACACACAATCCACTCTCTTCTCTCTTCTAACGGTCTCTTCACCTACCCTAACCACATCTCTACCATGTAAGATTCATTGTTTTAATTCTTGTTGGGATATTTGAGTTCTTGGTGATGTAGTAGTTTTTCTTTCTTTTCTTTAGTATATTTTTTTAGTGTGCTCTTGTATGCTAGTAGGTTTGTTGAGGTTGTTGTAGATGTATCTCTTGACATATGTGGGTGACATTGGGGCAATTGTGATGGAGTTTGGCTTATAACTTTGTTAATTGGGGACTCCGATGAATGGTGCATATAAAGTGTTTGTTAAAATGCCTCAGTGAGTTATTAATGTTAATTGTGACCTATTGTGCAGATGAAGCCTTTGGTTCACATCTTTTGTGTTTCGCTGATGATGTTCTTTATTTCAGGTACTATGGCACCTTCCAAAAAATGTCGAACCACCGGTGCTTCATCCACCGGCCAAGCTAGATCCTCCAGAGCGCGCGCTTCAACTCCTGCTCGTCCTTATGATAGTAACAAGTTCGTCTCCACTACAGCTCAGGACCGTTTTGCTAACAAGGAAGCCAAGAAGCCCATACCAGAGAGGGGCATGAATATAGGGTCTCTCCAATATGGCTGTCCCAACTTGTATAATGATTTGGTCTAGCGCGAGTTGGAGATTTTCTTTGAAGAACCGGATGACACAAATTTGATGGTTGTGTGAAAATTTTATGCCAACGTTAAAGAATATGTGAACGGTGTGTGCACAGTGCGCAAGAAGAATGTGGACGCCTCTGTTGAGGCCATTCGGAGAGCATACTGGCTGCCCTCACCTGTGGCGGAGATGGACGACTACTATGAAGCCTATGGTAGACGATACACCAGAGAGAGTTATTCTTTGAAACAATTTGTGTGCCTAGCAAGGAAATTGTGTGGATGAAACATGTGCATAAGTTCCATTTAGCGGCACTCACCTTTGAAGGGAAGTGTTGGATGTATGTCATCAACAACCGTCTGCTCTTGTCCTCTAATACCACAGACGTGAATGCTCCTCAAGCTGCATTGATTTGGTGTTTCATGAATGGTCACAATTTTGACGTGGCCAAGCTTATTTATGAGGAGATATTAACTCGTTGTCTGGTGAAGAGGTATGGTTTCTTCTTCCTTTCCCTAGTTACTAGGCTATGTCGGGCAGCTCAGATGCCGGAAAACTTGAGTATGGATGGAAAAGTGCCGAGAGAGGCAAAGTTTCGAGCGGATAAGGTGACTATTGGGAAGGAGCCTATGACACCTGGTGGTGATAATAATGATGACTCGAATGCACCTGAGGAGGGAGAGGATGATCAGGAGGAAGTGGGAGTTGAGTCGCCCACCCATGAGCATGTTGTAAAAGCCGCAAGACTATCTAGGGTCGGCCAGGTTACTCTATTAGCAGCCTTAGAGCAGGAGATAACAGGGTTGTGTACTACGGTCACTAACTTGGGGACGAAAGTTGATGCTTTGGCCACCCAGAATGCTAAATCAGAGAAGAAAATCATGGGCTGGTTGTGTGCGTTGGGAAAGGCGTGCCACCTTGACCCTGGCACTGTCTCCTATCATGACTGATCTGCCAGGAAAGTTCCTTTACCTTGCATTTATTTATTTTGTATGACATGGGGACATGCCATCTTTTTAAGTATGGGGTGGGGGATACTTCATTTGTATGTTGTATATATGTTGGAACATAGCTTGATTTTGGTCTTTAGTTAGTTGTCTAAATATGTGATTCGACTTGTCCCGACAATGGATATCACTCGACGGGTTTCTTAAGGGTCTAAGTCGATACAAAAAAACAAGAAAAAGAGAAGAAAAGATTTTCTTTTGTAGATAGTGTATCAATTCCCCTTGGTTTTCTTTGGACTGTGGTTCTTTTCCAAGGGTTTTGTTTGAACCGGGTGTAGTTAGTTTTTTGTTTATTTTTTTTTTAATTTTTTAGGTACTTATGGGCTATGAGATGAGATGGAAAGAGAATCTGTTAACGTTGTTACGCCTTGAATACAATAGACACTTTAGTGTGACACTTAGTCTCAGTTGTTGATTCTTGTTAGAGTGCCTTAAATTGTATGTTCTTAACTTGACTTAAGTACTCAGACGAGAGTGTTTTAATAAGCCAATTTGGAGTGAGTCATATGCCATGTGTGTGTGAGATTTATTGTATTCTATGCACTGTATTTGATGCCTAGAACTTGCCCTGTGTGTTTGCAAAGTGAAATAGTAGTTTTATTCAGTATTGGAAGTGATATAGGCATTTCTTTGTTGAACCAGATATGTATATTTTACCTGCCTAATTGTTATGTACCGTAGTTAACCCCTTTGAGCATGTAATCTTATTTCCTTGGCAACCACATTACAAGCCTTACCCAATTGTTTAAATGAACCATTTGTTTGAACCCTTTCACCTCCCATAAGCACTTGAATTGTGATGAACTGGTAAAAGTTAAAGTGTGGGGTGTTTGGTTTGGCTTTTGAGTGGAACTAACGAAATCAGGAGAAATGTGCACGGTTTTGAATAAGTAAGAGCCACTTGAATGAAAAAAAAGAGAGAGAAAATAAAATAGTTACATTGTTGTGAAAAAAAATAATAAAAAAAAAGTTTTTGATAAATAGTGGCTCTTGATTAAGTGTGCTTAAAGAAGAAGGGAGTTAATATATATTGATGTAAAAGGTGGAGTCTTGGTTTGACATAAGTGTGGGGTTATGAATGTAAAAGTATATGTATTAAAGTGTTTAGGGAGGTGTAGTCACTCTTATATCCAAATGTATCCTACCCGTCCCTTAGTCTACATTACAACAATAAAGTCCTATTTGATCCTAGACTGAATGATCTCGATTAGTAGAGTAGTACACTACGGGCAAGCCTATGATGCATCTTTTGTGGTATATGAATATTCTTTTTGAAAGTGAGTGAATTTTGTCTATTTGAATTCCTAATTGTTCTGAATGTTTATTGCTTGTGGAACTACTCTCGTTTGCGATGTGAGGGCACTTGATTCATGAAAGAAAGGTACATCTTGACCTTTGTGTAGAGTAAATGAGTAAGTTAGGAACATTGCGCGGCATGTGAGAGTCAACTCTTGAGGCAAAAATGTTACACTACTGGACTCAATCCTTGTGGTATGGTCTTGGTGTGATACGTTAGAGAAGTTGCTTAGTGAAGGAACCTCTGTAGAGTATGGTTGATTTCTCGAGGACGAACAATGGTTTAAGTGTGGGGTGTTGATAATAGGCTATATTCAAGTAATTTAGCGACCATTTACACCCCAACGTAGCTATGCTTTATTGCTATATGAAGGTTAAATGACAACAAATGGCTCTAATTATGAATTTTGTGCTTTGCAGGAGCAAGTCTTGATTATGAGGACACTGAACAGTATTTGGAGCTAATTTGGAGCAAGGAAAGCCAATCGGAGGTGAATGCATGTAAAAGAAGAAGGAAAAAAAATAGAAAACAACTGAACTTCATGAGCGCGGGCCAAGCACGGCCGTGCTCCAGCCGCGCTAGTCAGGCAGAATAGAATGCAATATGCACGGCCCAAGCACGGTCGCACTCATCATTTCGAGGAATATTATTTTCAGGGGTAATTTCGTAAGTTCGGGGGAAACTCTCCTTAACATATAAAAAGCCCATGTCGCCCAAAGAGAAGGTATCAAGGTTTTTGAAGGATTATTGAAGGCAAGAAGAGGCAAGGTGGAAGATTCGGCATAGAGTTTTACCTTTCTTTCTCTTGTTTTGATCATTAATGATGAATTCTACTGTTATGATTGTGAAAATGATTATGCGTAGCTAAACATTTAATCTAGGGTTTTGATAGAACCTCTTGGAGGATGAATTTCTGATATGTTAATATAGATTTGCCTTAATAATTTCTCTGTTTGTTCAACTATATTGTGATTGCTGTTGATTGAAGGGCCCTCAATCGGTTGTGCCTATTTAGTATGCATTACTCGGGAGAGAGTACATATTTAGGTAGTTGTTGAACAACACTACTCCTAATGTATTTGCAGGATTAATACGAAGGGTTTAAAGGTGGGATTAGGGATAACGAAACCTTGAGTGCGATCTAAGTGAGCTGTAACTAAGGCCAACTAGCGTAATTCAGGAGAATATGTCTAGTATATTGTTGTAATTACTCGGGAGAGAGTTACGACAGTCAGAATGCTCATGATTGATAGAGAAAACTTAGGCAAATTTACACCAAATATAGAGGAAAGGATTCCGACAAGAGGGGAAATCATAACTTTAGACCATTCTCATTCTTGCTTACAACTAGTTTTTAGCTAGTCTTAGTTTACTGCATTGTTATTACATAATATTTAGTTAATAAACACCCCAAGTTGTTACTAAAATATCTCTGAATATTGAATACGTGAATTTCTGTGAGTCCAATAGCTGTGATTGATAGGTTAATTCCCTGTGAGATTCGACTCCGGACTTGTTAATCGGGATATATTTGTAGCCACCGCTTTATCTTTTTTATAAGACATAGTTGGGTGTAATCACTGACCACACCCTAGTTGTTATTTTAAAAATACTTTCTCCGAGAATTCAATCAAAGAATGTTTTTCAAAATAAATAAATTTTAGAAGCTTGGCTAAAAAGCCTAAGTTGTTTGGGTGGTAAGTGTAATTTTACAAACCACAGAGGATAGATTTGCAATTCATCAAAAAAGAGAGAGTGCTTATACAGAAGAGTAATCGTCCAAAGTACTTGTCCCTCCTAGATAAAATGGAGGAAACAGAGAAAGTATCCGTCAAATCTGCATCCGAAGAGATTTCTAAGGAATTCAAAACCCTCATCAATGCTCAGGATTTGGATTCTCTGAAGCAATTGCAAAACCTCATGTACTTCTTTTTGCAACCTTCATTCATTTTTTTTATTTTTTTTAAATTTTCTTTGGAACATATCTGTGATGTAAACTGTTCTTAGTAATTTACTGTAAATTCCGAACCGAGTATGCAATGAGCTAAAGATTCAATTGTGTTTCTTGAGCTAATTTGTGGTGCGTATGATGTATTAGAACTTGTATTCACTTTTTATTCCGTTCAGTTCCCGCTGAACATAGTTTCTGCCCCATCAGATTATACAGTTTCGGGTTGAACCAAAGTTTGTTCTTTTCTTGCTCTAGGTTCAATGTTTGGCTTATTATGGTCAATTAGGATAATATCTGAGTTGGGTAGTTTGGAAAGTTTTTAATTGATAAACCAGCCTCTGGTCATATTGGATAAATTTTTTAATAATTGGTAATGAGAGGATTTGTTGCTAATGATATGATTAGCTGATGTATTTTTTTGTTCTAGGTGTTGTTCCATCAACTTATACAGTTTAGGGATGGATTCCAAATTGTTGTTTTCTCCTTGATTAGAAGTAGTGGGATTCACATATTTTCGCTGAAGTGGAGCTGATTTGGTCCTTTGGATAGTTAAGAAGTTATGTTTAAGCAGGAAATTGAAAGGGTAAGCTGTTGGTTATGTGATTGACTGAGGGATTTGTGCTTCCTGATTAACTTTTAGAACCAGCCTTTGGATGCATAAATGAGTTCTAAATATCAGTTTTATTAGGTAACACATTATAAGATTTCCAAATAAACAATGGCACTACATGACCAAATGTTCAGCGGGTGCTGCAGTTCAAAAGCCAAAGTTTCATTTTCTTGTGGAAAAACACTATCTCCAGAGTTGTTGAGTCCAGAAGGAAAGCAGTTTTACCATATGTTTAGCAATTAGATCCAGGCATGCACAAGTTTCTCTCTTGTTATGAAAATTAAGCCGTCAAAATTAGGACACAAAAGCTGTATTGTGATACCAATCTTTGAATGCACTTCAGACTGTCTATCGTGTTCCCATATCTTTTTTATAACGGAGATGTCTGGGCCAGTTTGCGTGCACCTCGACTATTCCTCCAGGTAACTCTACATCCCACCAGCGCTAATCGGGGTAAATCAGTCCAGCAAAGCTTGGGGTAAAGAAATTACCTAGTGGCTTTTGCCTCTGTTGGAATTTGAACCTGATACCTCATAGTTCTCTTCCCACTTCATTGACCACTTGACCACACCCTTGGTTGCCCCTGCAACAACATTCTTCCATGCCTTATTTGAATCTTTGTATCTGATCCACGATAATGATCAACTAGTCAATATTTTTATTGGACAAAACTCTTTGTTTATCAGGAGGTTAGCTTATGAAAGTGACTTTTGAGATACGTCGGTTAATAATTACCAAGTCTCAAAAGAAACATTCAGTACTGCTTTCGGTTTTGTATATCAAAGTATCAAACTTGTACCTTCCCCTCTTTGAATAAGTAGAATTTCGTGTGTTCTACCCATTACAATAATATAAATCATCAACAGCTCATATTGGGGTCTTTACCCCTTAGATCACAAAGAAAGATCCGCACTGCAACCTGGTGATTAATCGTGAGAATATATGTTGGAGCCAAAAGATCACCTCCTCTATAATCTCTTATGGTATTCTTATTTGATTGGAGAAATTTTCCTCAAGAAGCTTTATTTCAGTCACTTATCAAGGAAAAAAGAAAAAAAAAGTTGAGAAAATGCTTATTAGCATAAATCTCATTGGACCGGGCCGGGTTAGGGCCTAGCTCACGCGGACTTTAGCAATTGACGGGCTGGGCTAGTCCACCATTTTGATGGGCCTTATAATGGTCAGCCCACCCCAGCCCTATGTGGGTCGTGGACCCCCACGAGTCTGCCCATCATTTTAAAAAATATAATTTTATATTTTTTCTTTAAGCACTAACCTAAAAAAGATAAATATTTAAAAGTTAAAAATATCTTATTGGAAATTTTTTGCAAAACTTAATAATTTTTTATATTGTTCCAATATATCACAATAAATACTAAAAAAGTAAAAGACAAGGCTATATTTCCTTCACTAAAAGTTAAAATTCAAAACAAACTATTCAAGAGAATGTCCATAATGCTTTATGTGACATCCAACACATCATCTTGATCAAAAATATTTTAATCCGCTTGTGACAAGGTTGTCTTAACACCTTCATCTACATCTACAATTCATATGCAATATTAATTAGTTAAATATTAAGAATAATTAAATTTTAAAACTATTAACATTCAAATTCACATAAAAAAATATTACCAGTTTGAGTTTGGGAAAAGTCGTGTAGCCAATTTCGAGTAATAACAAGTGTTTGGTCATTTTCATAATGGATGCAACTTCTATACTTGGTAAGAACACGTCCACCAATGCTAAATGTTGATTCCGATGCTACAGTGTCATATACTTTTTATATTTTATATATTTTAAATAAATATTTTTATTAGGCCCACGGGCCGGCCCAACCCAACCTCAGTGAAGCCTCACGGGCCATACACCACGGGCTTACTCGGGCTGGACTTAAAAGCCTCGTTTGTAAATGGGCACCAAAAATTCTAGCTCAACCCTACTAAATCACGGTTTGGGCTGGGCTGGCCCATTGGGCCAAGCCCATATTGACACACTTTGTCTTTTTTGAAGCTCTGACTTTTGCTTGAGTCTCAGTTATTTCTCGATGGAGTCACCCATACTTGCTTAAAGCTTGTTGGCGACCATGATTTTACATCCGAGCACTAAAGAAATTACGTTCTTATAGCCTTCATCAAAAAAAGAAATTACGTTCTTATAGTACTTTTCTACTGGTTGTGATTAGGATGTGGTCATGAATATCAGCCTGTTCCTGAACACTTTGAAGCTGCCACTTCCTTTAAACAGTTAAACTTAATTTTCTGCCACCTTTGTGATAGCTATTTGTCATAATTCTGGAAGAGGCTTTTAGTTTTTACCATGTAATTTATTGGTTCGTTCAGTCCTTTTTGTTCATTGTCTTATTGTCATTCTTGGTGCCTTTTTTCACGGTCGTCTTGTCCACTCGAAATGCAGATTGGGACGGTTGCAGGACAGCAATGCAGTTCTTTCGCACTTCAATGAGTATTCAGAGCATTGTTTCACAGAGGTCTCGGCAGATTTCTCTAGAAACACACGTCTCTTAAAATCTATGAAGTCAGACCTTGATTACATATTTCAGAAGTTGAGGTATAACCATCCTTTTCTTCCCTCTTGTTATCCTCTTCTTTCTGTATATCAGTTTTCGGCAAGTGCAGGTAATAGATGGATTTGCTTGACTATTCATTATACTTGCACCTAATAAGTCATGTTTACCATAATTTGCTAATGATAAACTACTCAGTTCATTATTTGAACATTTCACTAGAATCTACTCAATATTTTGATCCGTGATCTTTGTGGTTTACACAAAAGTATATTTTGCTTGCTTCTTCAAAATAGGTATATTTTGCTTCCTTCTTATTTTCTCTTAAAAAGATGTATTGCAATCAAAGTCATTATCTTCCTTTTCCTCAGTTATTGGCTTGTTACATGTGATACTTTGTGCTACCATTTGGATAGTTTGATCCAATCTCATGGTTTTCAGCTTAAATTCCTCTTTGCCTAAGGTAAAACATTTGAGGAATACAAAAAAGAAACTATCATAGTTTTCCACAATCAACCATGCCTCAATCAATTAGGCTCTGTTATTCAGTATCTGCACAATCCAAAAATTCAGTATTCAGGGGATCTCTACAATTAATCTATTTTCATGCTGGCCATCAATTTGTTGAAACCCTCCTCATTCATCTAGGCTTAGACCAGCTATGTTTAAAAAGCTCACATAAGCAGACTCAGTTTCAATTCCCACAACTTAAAAGAACTTTATTCAAGCGTTAAAACTGCTAACTAGGTGAGGCCAAAACATAAACTGCATAACGACTTTATGTTAAACTCTAGAAGTCCATTTTCGTTATTATCAGCATTTTGGATGGTGCTATAATGTTTTTGAGAGAAATAACGGGGCGCTATTAGACTACTGGATCTATTCCCAAAAGTGGGAACTACTGTGTTTTGTGGTTTACCCAATTATTCCTATATTACTTTTAAATGTTTATTTTTCCTTTTCAGGAGCATGAAGGCAAAAATCATGTCAACCTACCCAGATGCACTTCCAGATAATACAACAATTCAGGCACTTGATCAAAGGCCTGATCTTGAAATGCCACGATAAGTTTGGTACTGTAAATGTTTGGGAAATGTTGCTTCTTCTATTTCGTCCATTATAGATATCGATAAGTTTGTTCACGGTGGATAGTTTGTGATAGAGCTTTACTGTTTTTATCTGATAGTTCTGCAGCTGTATACTGCAACGTGTGTTATGATAAGTTGTGGTCTCTCCCGAACAGTAGTTCTAGTGTGATTTTTGCATTGCGCGTACCTTTTTAGAGACAACACACTAATCTGTTTATTATAAGGATTCTGAGCTCCCAGTAAACCTATGATTGATGACATGAAAGAGCAAATATTTCGTTCTTGCAATGAAAATGTATTAAAATTATTAAATGAGGGGTTTTCTCATGTTTATGGCATTTTTATCTGCTGTACTCCTTTGGCAGTTGGATTGAAGGAAAACATGGAAAAGTAGATGGCTATGTTAAATGCTGATAGAGGTTAGAATTGTATTGGTTCAAAAGAACATAGGACAAGATTAACAGATTAAGTAGGCGTTTGGACATAAGAATTGTAAAATTCAAAAAAATGGTGAAATTTTTTTTCAAGTGAAAATGGTATTTGAAATTTAAAGTTGTGTTTGGACATAAATTTTAGTTTGGGTTGTTTTTGAAGTTTTGTGAGTGATTTGAGTAAAAATTTTGAAAAATAACTTTTTGCAGTTTTTTCAAATTTTCGAAAATTTTCAAAATGCATTTTCAAGTGAAAATTGGAAATTTTATGAACAAATGCTGATTTCGGAAAAAAGTGAAATATTTTTGGAAAAATTTTCCATCAAATTTTATGTCCAAACGGGCACTAAAGTTCCTAGCTTTCAATCTGATAGAACTTAGAATTGTAAATGGTCCTAAGTAACAAGCAGTGCATTTAAAGTAACAATACGATACAATGCAATGAAAAAAGACAATCCAAACAACTCCTAAGTGAACAAACAATTAAGAAGCAACAGTTGAACTAGAAATTGCATAGAAATTGCATAACATAGCTCTCTTTTTGTCCTCCTTCATATTCCACCTCTCTGACTTGCCGTTTTTTCATCAATTTGAAAAGACTTGGCAAGAAGATCAACAGGAATAGCTGGAGTGGAACCAAAGCACGCAGTTGAAACACGAGTGAGTTCAGAGTTTTGGCTGCTAAAAGCTAAAAGCGCAATAGCATTAGTGTCCCTTCAATTTCGCTGGAAATGGACGAGACCTTGTGGGAAGACGAAGACATCACCAACTTCAAGACGGTTCTCAGGGTTGGAGGTAACAGATCCGACTTCCAGACAACCCTCGAGGACTAGTGTAACACCCCGTAAATTCGGCTTAGGTGTGAATGTATTAAATGAGTGGTAAAGTTATACCTTGAACATGTAAAGTCCCATCGGGATGATTATGGGTGAAAATAGTTATTTCAAATCAAGATGGATAGTTATTGCAGAAGGTTCGTATTCCAGCAGGTTTTAGTAAAAATGAGTAAGGAATTTGGGAAACCTCAAATCATGAAAGTTGTAGGCCTTTGAAATAGCTTTCCAACGATATATTATGGAGCCCAAACGGATCTCTGTGCAAAAAGTTATGCGCGTTTTACAGAACAGTATGTGATATGCGCGCCCTTAGCGCGGCTGCGCTAATTTTGAGGCAGTGTTACTGCCGTTTAGCACGGTCAGTAGCGCGGGCAGGCCTCCAGATGCGCGGGCGCGCTAGTCGGGGTCGTTTTAAAGCTATATTTCGTCCCCCACAACTTCAAAACATAAAAACTTGCTCTAGAAAGAGGAACTCTCAGAAACCTAACTCCTTAAGGGTCCTTCCACCACCCAAGGTAAGTTCTAATGGTGATTCTAAGTTAATTTCAATTTTCCAACATCTTATTAACATGGTTAAACCCTCCATATCATTAGATATTCGATTGGGACATCATTGTTGAGAGAAGGAAGCCTAGAACTCGAATTCAAAGGGTTTGAACTTAAAAAAAGTAATGTCTTCACCCTCTAATTTATTCTAGCATTTGTTTAATGATTATAAACCCTAGTTCATGAGATATGAGTTGATGAGTTTGATAGAAAAACATGAACGATTATAGGATTGGGGTGTTGAGTGTTGATTATTGGATAAGGGTATTGTTTACATTATGGGGTGATGAAGAATAATGTTGATATAATCATTTGAGACTTTAAAATTTATCTAGGAACAAGAGAATGAGTTGTTGGGTATAGAGACACCATTAATAAGGACTATGAAGCTTTATTTTGACCAAGTGTTTGATNGAATAGTAGTAGAACTTCTATTCTCTAGATGGCATAGTCTCATAATCATTCGATATTCTATGAGTTTCAGTTATGATAAATCAACTTATTATGAATACTTATCTCAGTCTAATCCTATCACTAATCCAGTATCATGTAACTTGGTATGACTCATTATTTCAGTATCATGTATTGTAATATGATTCTCAGTTCCTGATTTTATATTCTTGAAT